TGAGGGCACAAATTAGGAATACTAAAAAAACCTTCAGCCTTTTTTCATTATGGCTTGGGATTAGCATTGTTAGTTTAAAATTTTTTGTTAAGCTTGTTATAAAAAAAGACAAATAATATAATTAAAAAACTTATGATCAAGAGCATATGATATTCATATTCTGCTTACAAGACACCTGCAATTTCTCCCTTCAAGTTTTCATATTTTGAAATTATTCTACAATCACTTCATTATCAATACTATTAAAATCCCATACAATTGTGCAAACAATTCTTTACAATTTTCATAACGGAGAACGCTCATTCGACTATTGATGTACCAATTGGCAATATCAGAGCAAACATCATACGTGAAAATATCAAAAGGTAAATATCATTTTTCTTAATCTCCACCATTTTTTATACAAGTTCTCCTTTTAAATTGTTGAATGTATCACTAAATCTCATATCAATGATAAAAGTCTCAAGTTTGCTATCTCATATAATGAGATCTATATTTAAAAAATTTAATAATAGATAAAATTTGGCCATATGTATCAATCTTTGTTAGTCAAAAGCTAAATATGAGTCATGTGGATTTAAACATACTACACACATAAGAAACTCAATATTTGTTTCATCAAATCTATTATTGAGCTCTTGAAATTGCATATATATAATTAAATAAAATAACACAAGTTTGTAATGATATTCATTTGTCATTGCATTAGAATGACGCATCTATCTCTCTCTCATTACAAAATTATAAGTCATATTTGAAACGATTAAATTATTCTTCTCACAAAAAATACAAACTTCTGCTAGCGAAGTATTCCATCAGTTGTCTCTCATAATTTGTAGCATTTGCTTCAAAATTTTTATCAATGTCATAGCATTTATGATATCATTATTCTTTCTTTGTAAAACCTGAGATAACCCATTTATTATTCTCCATATATATTTCTTCGTATGGAAAATAAAAAACAAAATTCAAAATATTGCACAATATTGACAAGTAAGGCATAAACTTCACATTTTTGCTCACTATTTGATCAATCTTGTAGTATTACATCAAGAATATTAATAACAGATCCATACAAAAGAATTATATTGATAAGAGAACCATAATGTAAGCCCCAATGTATATCTCCAGCTCATGGAAGGCCTATTTACTGATTTAAATCTCTAGCTTTGAAAACTTTACCATTTTGTAGTTGCTTTACTAGCTTCTCATATTGATCTCCTTTTATAGTAATCCCCGACAGTATTTATCAAGTTAGAGATAATATTGAAAAGTGAAACAACTTCAACATGATTTTTAGCCACAGTGATCAATGCCAATTGAAGTTGATGTGCAAAGCAATGTATATGATAAACTAAACTATTTTCTTTCATAATCAAATATTTCAGCCCGTTGAGCTCACGGCGGCATGTTACTGGCATTGTCATAACCTTGACCACGTATCCGTATTACTCAACCCATACTTTGTTAGGAGCACTTCAACTTTTTTTTTTTTGTGTCAAAGCAGATGTTTCTTTCACATATACAAGTCCAATAAAGCGCTCGATTACACACCTTTTATCAATATAACATAATGTTATAGTCACTTACTCTTTTACTGATACATCTCATGAATCATACAATAAAATTTCAAATAGATCATTACCTAATTACATGAACAATTTCAATGAGACCAGCACGAGTAATTTCCTTTTGAATGTCTAGAGCAATAAGTTTATTATTTTTTGGGCATTATCTAAGACTACTTTTTTTATATTTTCATTGTGCGATGTAGGAAAGTAAAGAAGTTTTAGATTTTCTTTTTTACTTTTTATTTTTCGGATTCATCATGATCACAAAAAGCTAATTCTTCTGCAATAGAAATCAGACACAATTTATACTAGCAGTTAAACGAGTTCTCTAATCTCTTCGATTTTGATTAGAAGGTCTTGTAACAACAAATCTAATGTTTTGTTTTTCATTCATTAGATCTTCACATTTTCTCGACACAATGTTATGAGAACTATTAACTTATCCAACATGGACTTGAAATCTATCTTCTTCTTTTTTTTTTTCAAATTTCGAAATCTCTTTGCGTCGAAGCTATCACTATTTGCTTGCTTTCCTATTTTTGGTCTATAAAGATAACAAAATAAGTAATAAACTGCATCTTTGGTAATACTATACTCTAACAATGCTTTGTAATCATTAAACTATGTAAGATTAAACCAGCTTAATTTATTTCTAATTTGTGTTTATGGAAATTCATGATCCCGAGGCTAACAATGTTCTTTTAGTATGTTTTTCTCATTGTATTCCTATCATTTGGATGATAATCATAATTTTTTTCCTCAACCCACGGTCAACCTATAAATCATCAAAATGTATTGCAACGTGAAGATATTTGGATTGTGTATTAGTATCATCACAATTTACATCGCTTAACCACTCCAACTTTTCTTTTGATGTATCTCTCCTTATCTATAATATAAAAAAATCTATAATGACATATGATTAAATAAAAAAGAACAAACATATTTTAACAAAATAATAATATATTTTTATTGAATAAATTATAATTTATGTTCAAATATTTTAACTTGAATAAAAAATTGCGATCCTCCTCTTGATGATATGCAAAATTATAGTTTATTAACTTATATTCTCTAAAATTCCTGTCAAAAGAAAATTAGAGATTACATGAACATGATCATCTCATCAACTACAAATTAATAGAGGCTTTGATGAAGAATTTAATAGGCAATGGATTATAATAATTACTTCTAAAAATTCTTAAAAAATAATGGAGAATGATTAGATAAATTAAAAACTTTATTCTTAAAGGGAAAAAATAAAATTTGCTCAAGTGAACACAAAGTACATGAAAAGTTTTCATTGAAAACCTTAAAACTATTTAAACTCAAATAAAATTCCACCACTTAGATTTTTTTAATTTTTTTTTCAATATAATCTGCTCAAGTAAAAATAGAAACCTTAAACAAAAACAACAACATCAAGCCTTTATCCCACTATGTGGGCTCGACCATATGAATCTTTTTCTCCATTATATTATGTTAAGAGTCGTAGAATTCTTAAACAAAGAAAAAAATAGAAACTTTTTTTTTTTTGGAAAAAAAAAGCAGAAATAAACAAAATTAAACCCATATTTAAACTTAAAAAATTGTGTTGGTTTTTGCAGCTTAAGCTCCTGGCAAATAGTTGAAGTTAGAGGGGTGGGAGAGAGAGAGAGAGAGGACTCACAAGCGATTCGGCCAAAGATGAGGATAGCGGTGCTAAGGCAGGATTTGGCAATGTAATAGCTATTAGGTTTATACATACATACATACATACATATCATATCATATGTGGTTATTTCAACATCAATCAGAGTAAGTTATGTATAATATTAGATTATGTCATATCAGTAAGAATAATCAAAATAGTCAGGTGGCATAATATACAAGAGTCGTCACCTCCAGCTTATCGCCACTCATAGTCATATCACATTCTCTTATATCTCTCATAATGTATCGGGTTCACACTACTAACTCATATTTAAATGAAAGCATGTCCACACATCCTCCAGCGCAAAATATTATATCTCTGCCAACCTGAATCATATAATATAGCCAGTTTTCTTGCAAACACACATTTCACAACATATCCAATATAGTAAATTGCTGAAGTCATACTCAATATTTAGTACATTATATACCAGTGCACATAATATTTACTTATAAATTGAAATAGTGAGATTCATGAGAAATTTCAATATGGAAATTTCTATATATATATATATATATATATATATATATATATATATATATATTGGTTGTTTTATTACTGGAAGAGGTTAGTTGTTATTTTTGTTAGTGTAATCGCACTAAAACCTACGGGTTATTTAACTTGCGAGCTATCTTCTTCTACCATACTTTTTTCTATTATAGTAGATTTATATATTTTAAAAAATTATTTGCATAGTGCCGCAGTGCTAGATCTTCAGTGCTGCAGCGCTTCCTATGGATGATTTTCTTGACTTGACAAACAGAGAGCTTAGTGTCGTGCACTATTTCGACAACGCCATAGCACCTCCAAGGAACATTACCCTACAACAAAGAGAACTCCACAATGCCACAACAGAACACCACAGCGCCATGAAATAGAGAGGTCAGCATCGCAACGCTAACAATACAACGCCACTACTCTCTCAAATCTGACTTCCACTTATCAATTTCTTTTCAATTCGAGCTGCAAAATTCTTAGCGACTAACTTAAGCATAAACAACTTCTAAAAATTCATAGATAATTAGGAAAATACCAATTTCTGTGGAAGTTGGCATTCTATATAAGATGTTGGGCATTAAATGCACCAATAAATTGTGCGGATAAGATTAATATGAAAGGACTCAAGAGAAAAAATCAGAAGAAAAACAATAAAATAACTAGAAGCCATACAAAAGGACTGGTATAGACTTAAAATCTCATGTAACACTCAATGAGATAGATTGGAGAGGGTGGAATAATGAAGCAAACCAAAAAAGTTGGGATAAAGCCAAGGATTATGATGATTAAAGTCGCAAATCCTAGGACAGTATGCCTTAATCGCAATGATTAATAATACTAGAATATAACTAAGGGGAGCTTCAAAGTCCTGAATCTATCAACAAATAAGACACGTACAAATTCCAAACAAATACTAAGAAACTAGGCAAAACTCCAGTTCTAGCAGATACAATCTAATCATTCTCTACATATTTAACTTCCATTCTGAAAGAGAAATCAATTCTCGTCCTGAAGAGCATATTCTCTATCAATTCATTTTACAAAGTAAAGATTCATTTCCCGATTTGTCTTTTATAAATCAAACTCTGCTTTGAATTGGAAACATTACATGATTTCTTGAATCTTATACTATTTTCCATGTTACTAAGGTTTGTTCTATCGTCTGCTAAAATTCCTACAAGATAGTTTATGCTTGTCCCTGATTTTCGTAGTGCTCTATTCAAATGCCTTTCTATCAGGTTCTCTCCGAGATAAGACCATACCTAGCAGGCACTGGAGGAGGTGCCCTCGAACTACACAAGATCAGTGGCTATATTGTAACGGTCAGATTGAGCGGACCTGCGGCTGGAGTCATGACTGTAAGAGTAGCTCTTTCGCAGAAACTGAAAGAAAAAATACCTTTGATTGCATCAGTCCATCTTATAGAATAGCAAACACTGAATCAAGAGGTTTTGATAAATTTATGGACATTGTACAAACGACTTTAAGGTAAAAATGCTTCTTTGTTTTCATCACCGAGCATTACATGTGATTGATCTCCTTGGTTCATTAAAAAACTGTTTTAAAAGGAATTGAAACATTCCAAGTTATTGGAGAATTTCCTGTTAACTATGAAGAAAGTTTTCCCTTATATCTTTATGAAATCTTGTTGCACTCTCTCAATATTATCTTCTTCAATGTCTTAATGAGTGCTAATGCCTCCATATTAGCGATTATTGCCTACTATCATGAAGCACTGGGCACAAGAGTTTTCAACCTGCTTATCATCTCTCCAAATACTTCCAACTTTTCCTCATCTTGGGCCTTCACTAGAAACTCCTCCAGCAACTGAATCCCTCTATGTGACGGAAGCCTCCCTCTCTCCAACAATTGCTTAAAGCATTCGTAAACCTCTGCTACTTGGCCACTGAAGCACAATCCCTTTGCCAGGATATCGAGTGCATGGCGATGAGGGCAGCATCCCTTCTCCATCAAATAGTTCCATAACTCCAAGCCCAGATCCAGTCTACTCTTCTCACGAAAGAACTTCATCAGAAACATCACAGTTCTGGTCCTCGGCACAAACCCCTTAGCAATCATCCTCCTATAAATCCTCAAAACGCCATTAAAATCTGTTGAGGTTCTATACCCGCATAGCATTGTATAGTAGCCCACATCGTCGACTTCAATTCCCTTCAATTCCAACTCATCCAACAGCACGAGTCCAGCCTTCATGTCTCCAGTTCTAACAATTGCATTCATCAGAGCATTATAAGATCCTCGATCCGGTGAAATCCCCCTCTTCGGCATTTCATCGAAAAGTTGGCGCGCGAGAAATGGCTCTTTGGCAATGCCGGCTCCATGGATCAGAGTCGTTATTGTTCTCACGGTTGGCGTGATACTCCGTCCCTCCATATCGGTTAGAAGCTGGAGAGCTTCGAAGAAACGATTTTTTTTGCAGTAGGCGTCGATTCGAATGTTGTAGGTGACGACGTCGGGTTGGAAGCGTCGAAGAAGGAGCTCCTGGTAAAAGTACTCGAGGGCGGGGAGGTTGCCGGTCTCTCGGAAGCCGAGGAGGAGGGTGTTGAAGGAGCGGGCATCTGGGGGGAGGCGGGAGTAGAGAAGGCGGAAGGCAGCGCGGGCGTCGGCAATGCGGCTGCATGCGCAGAAGGCGCGTAGGAGGGCAGTGAGCTCGGCGGCTCCGAAGGGGGGAAGGCCGGCGGCCGACCAGATAAGCTCGGCGCGGGAGAAGGCGCTGAGAGTGGAGGCGAAGGGATCAGTTGAGTGACGGGCAAGAGGGGAGAGGAGAGCAGTGAGGGCAGCGGTGGAGAGGAGAGAAGGGAGAGCGCGGCGGGTGAGGTCGAGGAGGAGGAAAGCAGAGGAGGGAAAGAGGAGGCGTCGAGGGGAGCGAGACAGGGAGTGGAGTAGCAGCGTGAGAGAGGAGGGAGAGAGGGAGGAGGGGGAGTGAATGAGTGAGAAGCGGAAGAGCTCGAGGGATTTGTGGGGAAGGGAGTGGCCGGAGAAGAGGCGGTAAAATAGTGAAGAAAGGCGGAGAGGAGAAGAAGGTGAATGTGGGAGGAGGGGAAGAAGATGGTCGATGAGGAGGGGGCGGAGAGGAACGGCGGGAAAGGGGTGATCGTTGATGAGCTTGGCAATGCGATCAATTACCAGATCCGATGGCGGCGCCGGCGTGGGAGTTGTTGGAGGTTCAGTTTCCATTTCGGGTGGAGCCGTTGGGTTTCGTGGCCTTTTATTTAAATTTTAGCCATCGAACATTTGAACGGTTAGTTTTGCGCCATTTGAAAATACTTTAGGTATTTAGATTAAAAATATATGATTTAAATATATCATATGTTATTCATCTAATGATTCTAAAGACTTATTTTGAACGATAATTTGTGCTGTATTTCTTGTTATTTCTAAGACTAACATATAAGAGCCGTTTGGTAGCAGGATTTAGGCCGGATTTGAGGCGGATTTGAGTGAAATCCAGCCAAATGTTCTAAAACGTAAAACCAAATCTCGCAGCAAATGAAAGCCGCCGTAGAAGAAAATTCTGTCTTTTATGCTAAATCCCGGATTTCTAAAATTCTATTTTTTGCCAATTTAAGAAATCAATTGGGTTGAGAGGAAGAGTCTGCTCGTTAAATCAGCTCTATAGCCAAACAATCACACGGGATTTAAAAGGATTTATCATGAATTTAACCAAATAGTTTTCAGGATTTAGGCCCCTCAGGATTTCGAAAATCCGAATTTAGCAGATTTACAAAACTCTACTTAAATCAATTCCTAGGTGCTACCAAACAGCTCCATAATGCATGAAAGGTGTTGGGCTAACATCACATCCATTTAAGAGAAATTCTAAATGCCAAACTCAAAACTTTTTAATATGATATTTATTTTGTTGACATCACGCGTTGACATTGTGTCCGATATCGAGCTTTAGTGCTGGTGTCGACAATTGTTGTCAATTTTAACATAATGGCAGATGGTGGCCTTGTTGGCAAATGATAGCATGGGCGTCAATGTTACTACGAACGTCGACATCGTTGAGAATGATGGGTGTTGGTGTTGATGATAGCCAACGACTTTATTAGTAATGATGAGTGTCTTAATTGATTGATTTGTACATCTTCATGATTCATCGAATTTGATAACTTTGTTCGCTCTCAAAGCCCTCAATTTGTTCAATGAAAGCATTTTATAGGTTTTTGTTTATTTTCTCCAAATTCTCAAACACTATTGAATGACTTAGAATAATTCTATCGCATTTGCAACTTTTTAAGCATTTTAGCACTTTAGTATTGATATCATGAGTTCGATAGATTTAGCTACGCAATATGCATATTTTGACTGTAATATTCAAACACATTTTTAAAGTACTTACATTAAAAGCTCATACATTTTTCATATTGCATTCCTTTTAAAATAAATTAAATAATTTTAGATAGAATAGCTCACCCATTTTTTCTTTTTATTTTAACATATGGTTAGGACATTTCTAATTGAAAAATCTATTTGTCACTTCAAAAATCTTATAATATTATTTCTCATCTATGTTCTGAATTGTGCAAACATACGAATCACAGTCTAAACAGTGCGACGCCAATATTAAGATCGTACTGTTCACAACAGAGATAAAATACAAAAATATGTTTCTATTTACAGACCAGAATTTAAATTTTGAGCTTTAGGTATGGCATATGACTTAATTGTAAGCATGTAATTAAATTAAGAATAAAAATACTTATCATAAATTTATAAATATATCATAATTTTTATTTTTTGTCATAAAAAAAAGCGCATGAAAATGTGAATAATTGCCATTTATTATCGCTTATAATAGAAGAAATTAACGCAATTACTGTCATAAGTGCTATTATTAATTCCATGCTCATGAATAAATATGTAATAAATAGCAATTATTTATTAATAAAATAACATTGATTGTAGAATTAGATCAGCTTTTCCATAGAACTGTAAACTTTTGGCATTATTGTGCCATTAGCAATAGATGACACCAAATTAAACCATTAGTGCTAATTACTATCTTCTAATCAAGGTTTAGCTTAATATGCTTAGCTCAACTTTGAAGAGTTTTATTATATTCTCATCAAAAGAATTAAGGCTCGAATTCCTCACAATTAAGACTTCGCTTGGGACGTTTTTCCCAATGCTTTTTAAAAACAATATTTTAGTACGAAAATTTCTTTAAAAAAAAATTACTAAGATGTTGCTTTAGAAAGCAATAAAAAAGTCGTCCCAAATGAAACCTAAATTATAATGAAATGACAAATGAAGCCTAAATTATAATGAAATTTGCCATGATGAGTTGATGACAACAAGATGCAAGAGAAGGGTAGTATTGTACTTGATTTGATTTTTATGGGCCTTAGCACTTGTCATGTCAGCCCACATTTGTGGTCTCATAGAAGACAAGGCCTCATAGACGGGAGAGATTATTAGGTGCGGAGTGTGGACGGGGAGAATCGTCCACACAAGCGCTATACCCAGCTAGTTACCGGCACTCGATACCGCTGAGTACCGCTGGGTACCGCTAGGTATCCAGTGCTTGTGCAGATAGTGCACACTCCACACCTAATAATTTTTCCATAGACAGGTGGTCTACAAAGTATTTATCATTATTGTATATTTGATTGGTTTGCATAACTTTCTTGATATGTGTGTTTTGATTTATATTAAGTATGTAGGTAGCCTATGTTAATATACATTATTGTGTATGTGATTGTTGTTGAACACCAATTAATCTATATAACAAATATATGATTATGATATTAATATTTTAATCAAGTGATTATAAAATTGGTAGGATAAAATGATTAAGATGGCTATAATAATAGAATGTTGATATATGATTTAGACTTCTTTAGGAACAACTTTTTTACTATTTCTTAAAGCAGTTTTTTAGTAAGAAAGTCATCTCAAACTAAGCCTTAGTGAACACAAAGACAATAAGATGTGAAAGATGGACTCAAGATCAAGCAAAATTAGACATATTGTATTTGGGTTTTATTTTTATTTTTTTTTAATTGTAATTTTATGTCAATCTAGCTCAATGGAGTGTGCTCAAATTAATTTAAATTTTATTATTATGATTATTAAAATATTATTTTGAACTTTGTTATCAATTTGTATTAAGATCATACTCATGTTAGATAGGTTAATGAATAAATTATAATGGTGTATATATTTAAATCAAAATTAAAAAAAAAAAGTATTTTTTTAGCAAGTTACCACAAATATGGTAATGATGTTTTAACTTAGTAATATACATGTCAATAGTTATTAAGGCTTGGAATAACGAAGAAATTATTCTGTGCAAACACCGGACTGTTCGGAAGCCAACTAAAATGCGTCACCTCACCCAGGACCCAGCACCGGTACCGAGCAAAAAAGTGATTTGGCGAGTTCTGATTAGCCTCTAGACGACATCTAGTGTCCGCACAGAATAATGAGTTATATGAGTCACCCTCAGGTCTTTTGCAGATTGATATGGTTAACCCGTCTTTGCTAAGCTTACGGGTTATGATAAACTATTTAATGGATATTCACTAACTTGCAATTGGAATATAAACCATTAATAGTTTTTATACATGAAAACCATTGATTCTTATGCATTTAATTCCTTGTGGGTTCTTTTGGATTCATTGGGAAAAATTTAAAGGAAGATTCTAGTTCTACATATAAACTTATTTGAGACTATTATAATGTTATCTGCATAAAATAATCATTCTTGATTCTCTTTATTCCATGTATGTAGGGCTTTTAAAAGTGATTAACGGGTCGAGGTTGAGTCTGACCTGAAATTGAGCCCATTTGAACCCATTCGACTTGAACACAACCCGTCGACAAATCGAATGACCTGAACATGACCCTTTCAATAAATAATAGCTTTTTTTCAAGCCAAAATCAAATAAAAATCTTGGCTCCAAAATAAAAACAATGAAAGAAACAACAATAAGCCTAAAGAATGTCTGCCAATCTGAACAACCATTAAAACCATTTGATAAGCAGATATTGTCTCTTCTAATTTTTTTTATTACTAAGCAATAAAGTATATAATTTTATTAGGGTAAGCCAGCTAGGGTTTCATGAAAATATTCTTCTTTCTTAAAAAAAGGCTCAAAGAAGTTGAGGACAAAATGAAAGCTCAACAGGAAAGAAATCAAAGGCAATGAGTTGATTTACTAATTTATCAACCAGATCAGAGAGGTAAATTTGGTTTGATCAAAGGTTCAGTATCTAATTTCAAAATTTTATTTATTTTATTTTAATAAATAACATCATAACTATCTGATTTCATTTATCAGAAATAAACAACAAAAATAATTCTAAAATTCAAAACATCTATATATATACAGAAAACAATGAAAGAAAGCTTCTCTTATTATAATACATAGACTTATACTTTTCCTTTCTTTGAATTTTATCTAAAAATTGAACCAAAAAATTATTTCACACACAAATCATATTTTCCTTATAATATTATGTATGATTATTAAAAATATCACATCATTAGATTTCTTGAAAGACAATATCATCATTCATAAAATCTTACGCAAATACATCACAAATCTGCGTGAGCATTTTATAAAAAGGAGCTCGTTTTAAATTTAAATTAGTTTAAGGAGCAGGTTAACAAAATAATTTAAAAAGGAGTAAATACGGAACTAAATTATCTGGTTTTAATAGAAACCGGTACTTCATTATCCAGTTTCGGTTTCGTGATTTTAAAAGAAACTGGAGGAGGAAATTCCGGTTTCTTAAGAAACCGGATTTTGTTAATCCGGTTTCATAAGAAACCGAATTTTTTTTTATAATTTATATCATTTTATTAAAAATAATTTAATGATTTCCAAGGAAACGGGAAATCAATGTTCCGGTTTCTTAACAAACCAAAAAATGATTTCATGAAGAACCATTATTTTATTAAAATAATAATTAAAAAAAAAGTTTTAATGTGATTATTATTTAAAATATCCTGTTTCAATATTTTTTTTTTCTTTTTTCTTTTATTATAGGTTTGAAATTAATTAGGTTTATGAGAAATATATCATCATGTAAAGTAGGCGGTTTGCTAGCGAGATTGAGCGTGCTCGTCTTTTGGAGAAGATCTTGAATATGTTATTGTTGGGATAGAGAAACATGCTATCAAAAGTTGATATCACATTAATAACAACAAGCCTTCATTACATTACTTAAGGTTGGCTATATGAGTCAAAGTCCTTTTTAAATCTAATAAAAAAACCATTTAAGATACTTCTTAATCAAGTCTTTTTAGGTCTGCATTTATTTTTCTTAACATATGACATATCTAATATACCTACCTAATAATAGGGCCATTAGAAAGTCGGCATTTTACGTGATCATACATCTACTCCAATCTTTTCACGTATATACTCATTTCACATTCAGTCTCAGAGTAGAAAATCACTTATCCACCTGAGCATCCTAATCTCTACAACACTTAGCTTAATTTTGTACTTCTCTTTTAATGACCAATATTTTATTCCATAAAGCATTATAAGTCTCACCACACATATATTAACACAACACATCAACACCATAATCAAACACGTCGCTATAATCATCAACATCGTAGATTTTTGTATCCAAATACAAATATATAATGCAATTATTGTGATAGGGATGATCATATTCTTTATAATTGCCATGTTTGAAGATCATATGCTTCTATAATATTCATCTTTCATATGAGTACCAAAAGCTAAAAGCTTCAACTAAACATCTCAGTAGAACTTTATAGAATACAAATTCTTTTTCTTTCAATTCAGCATATTATCTTCTTTATTGATGCTGTTTTTGCTGTTCTATACCTTCCTTCCTATACTGCATTTGGTGCTTTAAAAAAGAAATAGGGAAAGAAAAAACAGTAAGGAAAAGAAGAAATTCTGAACAAAAGAAAATGGTGAAAGCGAAGCTATTAACTATATATGCTGGTCTTATGGCTTCTTCACAAGTCCCACCACATTGCAGATTCTGTACCTAACGCTGGAAAGCATTAAAATATTCCATCTTATCACCTTACTATCCAAATGGAATTTCAGTGAGGATGCCCT